ATATTTCAATATAAATTTGTAGTAGTTATGTATGAAGTAATATAACTATAACTATGTGATTTATAACGTTTACTTTTAGTTATATAAAACAACATGAAGATCAAAAAGTAAATTTAGGTTCCATTTTAACTTTTCTGTAATATGTATTCATATAGTTTTGAAAAAAAAAGAATTGTAGATATGTAATAAGAGATTTCATGTAATAATCCTATCCCACGTCGGCCAATGAATATGAAATTTTCGTAAAATTACTTTTGTATATATAAAGAAACCAAAGGACGATATAAAAAACCATCGAGGCAAAGAAGCTTCACCATCTTTTGTGATATACTTATTTTGGGATACCCTCTTTAATTTATTTATTTTTAATAATAAATTGAATAATTATTTTTTATCATTAGTTACCTTTCAAACGTTTTTCGGACATTAAACAACCGGTGGTGATTTAAAAACGTAAATAAAAACAGTAACAAATCTATGCGGTTAAAACACCAAACCGCAACCACATAAAACTGAACCGCATATAAAAACCAGAAAACTACACCACTCGGTTTGCGGTTCCACTACAAGAAAATCACCCTTTAGCGGCGACGCTATTACCGGCGACGGAGGTCTTTAGCGGCGACACTAGAGATTGTCGCCGCTAAAAGCCCGTGTCGCCGGTAATAGCGTCGCCGCTAAAGGATGATCACCCGAATCCGCGTTTTCCCCTTCCGTTATATCTACACCGTCCGATCAAATATCCAATCCAACGGTTGGGGTCACTTTATCCGAACTAACCTAATACCAGCGACATATGTATCGCCGCTAAATGTTGAAATTGTTGCCGCTAATACTTCACTAAAAAATGACGCGGTACCCTTCCCTCCAGATTGTCGCCGTTATTGATAAGTGTCGCCGGTAAAACCCCACTTGTCGCCGCTAAAGGCGTCGCCGGTAAAGCCTCTCGAAGATAAAAAAAAACGCACGCAGTAGACTTCATTCTTCCATTCTGCTTTCTGTTTACCTTGGCTACCCTTCGCCCCTTCCAGCTTCTTCCGAGTTCATCTTCAATTTGCTTGTTCCATCCCGATTTCTCCCCACATTGTGTCATATTAAGGATATTAAGGATGAAGGTGTGATTTGGGACCGATTTCTAACTCAATTTCTTGAAGAAAGGTAATTTGATTTGATAATTTCCTTGTTAATTTGTATGTTAACACTGAAAAAGTGTTGATTAAATTTCTAAGATTTGGTTATTTAATTTGTATGTTACCCTTGCAAATATTGTTGAAGAGATCTGTGACATCTTGGATGGCTCCCAGGTTTTGTTGGAGGACATTTGACCTTACAAGCAAGGAAACATCATCTTTACTGTCGATTTGTAGCTTCATCGGGTGAATAGCAGTTTTTCCGGCTACATATCCGTGGATTTCCGCCACTACAGGTTCTATTCTTTCATTTTTTTTGTGAATTTGGTATTTGTATGTGAAAATTATGTGAAAATTGCCATATGTGAAAATTGTGTGTATATTTGATATTTGTATGTGAAAATTGTGTGTATATTTGATATTTGATGTATGTGGTATATGAGTATTTGGTAGAAGTATATATATGATATGTGAAATTATATGTATTTGTTATATGTAGGATGTTATTGTGTGTATGTGAATGTATGTATGTTTGTTGTAAATGTGGTATATGATTGTGAAATTTTTGTATTTGGTATAAATAGGATGTTATTATCTATATATGTGAAATTATGTGTATTTGGTTTAAGTAGGATGCTATTTTGTGTGTATGTGAATGTATTTGTATTTGGTGTATATGTGGTATATGTATGTAAAAGTATGTGAATTTCATGTTCTTATGTATTATGTAAAAGTATGTGGTTTTGGTATAAGTAGGATGCTATAATTGAAAAAAAATTATTGTTATAATTGCAAAAAAAAAAAAAAAACACACAAAAAGAATGTTATAAAATTGTTAGGGTACTATACACATATTCATGTGTGTATTGGATATTTTTTGGGGGGTTTGAACTTTGAATGATTATCCCTTTTTTAAATCATGTCATTTTGATTATTGTGGCAAAGTGTTAAGAATCACATTTTAATGTTTGTAATATGAACTTTATTTGGATTTCTTGTTTAAATAGAAATGTTTAGTCCTATGTAAATGTTTATTTCTATGTAATGTGTATTTGTAATAAAAATTATATTTGTATATCTTATATTTTTTCAGGAAACGATGACAATATGGGTTTTGTTTATGTATACCATGGCTGCTGTTATGGGTCGTGGACACGGAGGTGATGGAGCTGAGGACCCACCTCTCCCAAGTGGTAGAGGTGCTGGTCATCACGAGCAGGACGGTAAGTCTTATTATGAATTTTTATTTACTAATTTTGTTCAATTATTATAAATTAAATACTGTTTCTAATAATTTTTAATTACATTTGTAGTTGAGCAAACTGCACGAAGGAAAGTTCGAGGCAAAGCGAAAAATATAAAGCTTGAAAAAGCGATCTTACGAAACAAGGGCAAACCGATTAGCATGGAATATGATAGGGATATCACATTTGATCCCGTAGGAGAGCCGAAAGACATGTTTTCCCGAGAAGTTGGAAAAACAATGTGGCAGATGGTCCCATTTGATAAATGGACTTGGAAAAAAGTTTCCCCTGCAATACAGGACACCGTATTACAACATTTAGCGGTAATAATTTATTTAAATATATTTTATATGGTTAACTATAATTGTTTTTTACTTGGTTAACTTTTTTTTTGTAGACAAAGTTTGATTTGGATCAGATGTACCGGGATGTACAAGCTAATTTGTTGACAGAGAGTTTTCAAGCAGCTTTGTTAAAATGTTATCGAGAACGTAAAGCTGACGCAAAAGAATATTTTATGTCAGTCGGAGGGTATGAAGATATCCCGGGAGCATTAGCCAACCCTCCAGAGGGTATGGAAGTTGATAACTGGATGAAAACAGTTGAGTATTTCCAAACAGACGAACACATAATTGCTTCAGAAAGGAACAAAAAAATCCGTGAAATGCAAACAAATGTGAATCGTGGGGGGTCGAGCTCGTATAACAGTACTTGCTATAAGAAGGTAACGTACGATACATGTAATTATTTATTTAAAATATAATTTAATTTTTAAAGTTAAACAGAACCTGAAGAGAGTGGAAACGTTTCGCAAAGCTCATACCGATAAGAATGATGTATTTGTTACTGCTGAGGCGGAACAACAATATGTAAGTATTTAATTATAATTTTATCATATAATTAAATGTTTATTTATACTTAATTGTTACTCACTTTTGGGAGTTACAGAATCGGTTAGTTGAAGAGCTGTTAGAACAAACTCAAGGTGAAAGTCAGTTAACACCCGCTCAAGAAAGAACTGCGTTTGAGAAAGTATTAGGAGAGCGACGTAGCCATATTAGAGGCATTGGTCGTAAACCTTCTGCTCTCCCGCCGATTCCACAGCCTTCGCAACCATCACCACAACCATCACAACCATCACAGGTAAAACAATCTACTTTGGTAATTTTGTTTTTGTGGTGATTATTTGCTAAAAAGTTTGGTAATTAGGTTTTTGTCCCAAGTGCAAAAAATAACAACGTACTTTGGTTTTTTGTTTTAGTTTAAAAATAGCAATATACTTTATCATCGTAAAATGCATGTTGATTTGGTAATTTTGGTTTTGTGGTGATTATTTGCTAAAAAGTTTGGTAATTAGGTTTTTGTCCCAAGTGCAAAAAATAACAACGTACTTTGGTTTTTTGTCTTAGTTTAAAAATAGCAATCTACTTTATCATCGTAAAATGCATGTTGATTTGGTAATTTTGGTTTTGTGGTGATTATTTGCTAAAAAGTTTGGTAATTAGGTTTTTGTCCCAAGTGCAAAAAATAACAACGTACTTTGGTTTTTTTGTCTTAGTTAAAAATAACTATGTATTTTGATAGTTTTTGTTTATTTTTTATAATTTAACTTATAAGTTTATATATGTTGTTATTAATTATGTAGTTGGAAAATCTCCGTGCGATGCTGAATGACCCGACATGTAGGGATGAGCTGTATTCGTTTTTTCAATCCCAAAATAATCGAGGAAACGATGGGAATGAAAATGATGGTATATAGGCCAGGATGAGTTTTATTTGCATATGTTATCACGCTTTGCTACTTGGTAGATTGTAAAACTTTGGTTGTTTTTTGTAATTGCCGGCGACACTAATACCGGACGACATTATTACTTTTTATATTCGGATATTATGACTTTTGATATTTAATTAATTATAATCGGATGTTTGTTTTGTAATTAGCATCGACACTATTATTTTTGATATTTAATCGAATGTTGCTATGTAATTACCGAGTACATTATTACCGACAACCAAAATCGTTAATTACAAAAAAAAAATTTTAAAAATGAAAATCATAATTACCGGCGACACTATTACCGGCGACAGAGTTATTACCGGCGACACTGTCATTACCGGCGACACATATCATTAGCGGCGACGCGTTCATTAGCGGCGACATCTATCATTAGCGGCGACATGTTCATCAATAGCGACGAAGTAGTAGCGGCGACTTATTACTGGCGACGCGTCGCCGCTATTACTATTACCGGCGACATCTTGGCTTATTACCGGCGACTTTTGTTGCCGCTAATGATCATTTTCCTTGTACTGTTCGATTTTGACCAATAACCGCACCGAGCCGGAAGATGATGGTCACCCTATAGAAGGCACAATAAGCAAGGGGTGGATCCAAGATTAAAAGGATTGTTTAATTATGTTGATAAAGTAACATCAAACACAGCATAAACTCAACCGGTATATTTTATTACATAACAAATGGTCAAATATGTTACATTTATTTGGAAACATGTATACATTACGTAAAGATAAACGGTGCAACCACAGAAACATCCAACTTCATGGTTGTTTTGCTGATATTGAGGGATTCATAGTTCATGCATACCGGTTGTTACGAAGATTTGTTCTAGTAATTCCACAAATTTCCTCCACCAGAATAATATGTTCCATCGTCTGGCGGATTAGAATCGATCCTCGGTGGACTGAGAAGCATTCCCTCCGCCATATCTGACAACAGATTTGGCATGCCAACCACTGCTTCATCATCCACATACATACCAGGTCCAGCTGGAGGAGCTGTATTTGTACCACCGACCGTCATGCTTCCACCACCATACTCATACGCCGGTGATCGAGCGGCAGCTGCTCTTGCAGCTGCGGCACGGATGTCATCAGCGGTAGGACACTCGGGAAGTGTATTTTCGAGAATAGATTCTGGAAAGTTTAGGACTGCATACTTACCTTTGATTGCCAATGCAGCCACGTCGTAAGCAGCAGCAGCCATCTCTGGTGTCGGATACGAGCCAAGCCATATGCGACTGGACTTGTTTTCACGAATTTCAGAAACCCATTTCCCAGCTCGCAATCGGATTCCATGGTAAACTGGGGAGGAGCCACCTGCTGCGTTGGATTGAGAAGCTGTATCATTTTGGGGTTGAAAAGCGGAGGAATTGCGGCGCCGGTTAGCCATGCAATCTTATGGATGGGTATTTGGGTAGTTAGTTATGTTGGTGGTCCATTGTTAGGTGGATACGGTTTTTATAGGAAAGACAAAATATTCCAATAGCATAAAGTTTCTTAAAATATATCAAGTAGCCCCTCGATTATATGCAGTTGCCAAGTCAGTCAATAAATTTCGACTATATGAAGTTGAGAAGGAGTCACTATCTGCTGTGGATTGGGAAGCACCATTTCAAGGGAATATGAAGAAAAAAAAGGAATTGCGGCGCCGAACGTGGAGAAATCGCGGATGCCAAGTGTGCACAGTGCACTTGTGGCTTTAAAGAATATTCCAAAAAGGCAGTACTCCCATAAAAGAAAAGAGAATAGCTAAATAAACACCCCCATTTACTAGAAATACAATCTATGTTAAAAAAACATCCTAATAAAAAAAAAAGTCAACAATGCCTTTTTACATTGAAGTTTGTATACCATACTTTTTGTTTTTTTTAATTCACGTGTATTCTTTTTATTTTTATTTTCTTTACTTTTTATTTATATTTTCTTTTTGGAGTAATTAAAAACATATATATATATATATATATATATATATATAAATTAAATATAAATGATTAATTATTTATTTTTAATTAATATAGATTAATAACGTATATATATTTGTATATTATTTAATAATTAAATATAAATGAATACATAAAAACAAAAATATGATGCAAAAAACAATAGCATTAGCAATCCTTCATGAATACATAAATGCATAATTCGAGAGAAAATTAATACCCTCTAACAATCCTCTATAGTTATAAAAGGTATTTCAGGATTGTAAGATTTCAGTTGTCTATAAAGTTCTAGACGTGACATGAACATAGTTTCCCATCCAGCTGCACATGGGGCTTTGTGGCTGATCCAGAAAGCTGAAATGGTAGGCAGCGGGCAATCTTCTTCTAATTGTACCATCACATAATGATTACCATATACAAGTGAAATCGTAATAACGCGATGGTACAAAAATTCTTCCGGACCTTTCCAAAGAGGAAAGAAAGTGAAAGAGCCTTGGTTGGTTAAAAAAGTAAGGACTACACCAAATCTGTTGGCAATGAGGATACCTGTTTCAGGCATAAGTAACCGGTATCTTTTAGGTGCCGGCGATTCTAAGAAATTCAACGAAGTATATAGTTCACCGATTCCATCAGTGAAAACTCTAGCATATGCATCGTACGAACTCAATAACTCGTCTAGTAGTTGACGTCGAACATAGAGTCAGTCATTCTCGCCATACCCAAGACAAACAGATATTGCTCGAAATCCACAGTTTCCATCCCCCTCTACATCTTGTATATGTGTGATGTAAGGATGAAATATCACTTGAATTGCATCTATTAGTCGATGATTGTAGCATGATTGAGGCTCTTCCTTCAAGTCTGGAATTTCATTCAAGTCTGGCTCTTCTTTCAAGTCTGGAATTTCATTCAAGTCTGGAATTGTGGTTATGTATGAACTATGTCTTGCCGGTTCCCTATTGTTCAACTCAAAAATTTTTGGCATGGTTGAAAAGCTGCGTCTTCTAGGAGCTTGATTGATAGAATCAGTTTGTTTTTGTTTTTGTTTCTTCAAACTTGGTCGTCCACGTGTATTTTTTTGAATTGCGGGTTCTCTAATGTGTGTTTTACTAGGCTGGAATATATCTAGTAGCTTTCTCATCATGCTTTTTTTCACAGCTTCCGGTTGCTTATTGTAGGTTTCTTTAAACACTTCAAATTTACCGTCACCACATATATCCTCATTTTCCATAGGAATTGACGGTGAAATTTTAAGTTTTCTCCAGAATACATCTATTGATTCCAATGGAATACACTCACCTGTAATGAAATATCATTAATATATAAACAATCAATATATAACTTAAATGTAAAAAGTAATTGTCAAATGCACCCACTGAAGTTCAAGTATGTTGATAGCATGTAAGCACATGGTAAGCCACAACTATTTTGTAGTTTACAACCACAGTTTGAAGAGTCAACTTGATGTACCCGTTGAAGTTCCTCTACAAGCATATCCAGAGCTTTAAGTGAAACATTACCCCGCAACAAATCGAAACACGAAAATTTGTGTTCGTGTTTGGAGACGATCATGCTCTTTTCAAAACTCTCATTTATCGTTGTAAGTTGAGACTTCACAAACCGATCAATAGCACCAACAAACTTGGCTAAAGAATAATTTTTTTCTTGTAAGTACTTCTTTAACGCTGAATGTTGGCCCTCAACTCTGCTGCTGGTTCGTTGTCCAAAGTTCAAATGTTGATCAATCCAAACACAGAAAAACATTTCCTTATACTTGTTTAACCAAACATCGTCCAAATACTGTAAAACATCTGGAATCATATAAATGTTATTTATGTATAAAAACCCTTCTAAATTTATAAACAAGTAGTTACAAAATACGTAGAATTGTACCTTCATGTTCTCTTAACATTGACTGTAGTTTTCAGTGTACGATGTCCATGTTGGAGAGTCAACAATTATACTCCACATAGCACAAAAGGATTTCCACAAAGCTTTCGATGGGATTAGCTTCTTACAATGCTTTCTAATATTTTCGGTAATGTGCCATCGAAAAAGTAAGCGAGTTGCATAAGGGAAAACTTCTTGGCATGCATTCACCAATGCCAACTCTCTGTCCGTCACTATAACGCGTGGTTGCATGCACTTTTCTAGTGTCAACCTTAGACACGTTAACACCCACTTATAACTTTCCTCCTTTTCGTTAATGATAAAGGCAAAAGCAATGCTAAATGTCTTGTTGGTTGAAGTTACTCCAACAATCTCAACAAAAGGCATAGCATATTTGTTTGTTTTGTATGTTGCATCAATAATCAAAACGTGTGGAAATGCTTGCCATATATCTAACGACAGTGGATGAATGAAAAACAGGTTTTCCAATTCATTTGAAATATTATGTACGGAAAACTCGATAACAAATTTTTTATCATTCAAAATTCCCAAAAGAACCTACATTGAAATATCGTTAATTAATAAAATTCAATATATAAATTATATGTAAAATATACTTGTTGAAATATTATACCTGCATCGGAGTTTTTCCATCATTTTGGGACGAGTGAAGCTTGTACTGTGCATTGTATATGGTTTTGAGTATAGAAACATTATTCTCATCATGCTCTTTTAGTATCGAGAGTATGTTGCGTGGTTCAACATTCTGACTTGTCAAGTTAGCCACCAACTTTTTTTCGTTTTCTTTCAACCGCCTAGCATAAGCATGTCCTTCCATATGTTGTGCAGGTGGATGGTTATGTTGATCACATTTCACCCTCAATGTCCAACCATCAAATTGTTTTATATACGAACCTACCAATTTAAATGGACAATTGATTTTTTTGGTGCCGGAATTTTTACTTGTTGCTTTAATTTTGTATTCACCACCACGATCACAAATAAGTGTGACATAAGACACCACACCATTTTCATTTGTCTTTGATATTCTTCTAACGATAACATAACCAAGAGAAAATGTTCTGTTTTGTACCCATCCCATCAATTCATTTAGAGAATCGAACACCTAAAATTCAAATAATATCTGTTAATAACTAGTGAATATTACAATGATTAAAAAAATTAATATCATGATAAGTATTATACCCGTTCGGTGAAAATGGTGACATCCCCATAGAGAACTCGTTGCCTTCATTTGAGTTTGCCCCGTAAAAATTCGCCATCTTTTCGATAAAACTATGAACATAAGAAAAAAATTTGTTAAAAAAACTAAAATAATATAAAATAACTAATTAAAAATAAACATATATGTTTTTAAAAGCTGATTAACTTTTAAAAATCAAAATCAATGGCAGCCGTGCTTGAAATGTCTAATGTCCACTTATCTAAAAAGCTAATTTATTTTAAAAAAACAAAAAGCAACAATTCATTTAGTTTAAAAAACTGTTTATTTTAAAAAATGATTTATCATATTAAGTGGTCAAACCACTTAAAGGTTAGCCCACTTAAAATGTCCAGGCCAATTATCCGATGTTCACCACAAAATATTATCATTTTGCAATGTATTTGCTGTGAAAGAGCAACAGCCGTCCCCCATCTGCCGGAGCACAGCAGCCGCCGACGACTTGATGCCACCGGAGAATCGCCGACATCAGACCTCCGACGAAGAGTCCATGCAACCAGAGCATCGCCACCACCATGAAGCTCTCCCTATCTGTTTTTTCTTCGATCTGTCTCTTTCCACGTTTTCTCTTTTCCGGCACCGGAGATCTAGACGACGCCTCCGGCGGCGGTGATGCTCGCCGTCGGTCATGATTACCATAACTCGTTCCCTATCTCTCTCATTGATTGATCTGTCTCTATCTCTCTCTCTCTCTCTCTCTCTCTCTCTCTCTCTCTCGATGTTTTACACTTTTCCGGCGGCGGTGCTGCTAGCCGTCGGCGATGATGACGGTGGTTGGACTTTAACAATCACAGTTATATTTTAAATCCTGAAATAATAAACAAAGTTAAATTGATATTAATGTAATCCCTTTATTATATATACAATTTACGAGACACAACTTTTTATGTTTAAACTTTTTTAGGTACCCAATATAGCTATTAAATAGGGTGTTTTTTAAGAAAAAATAGTTTGACTTTCAAAATAGGGTGTATATGGGTTGTTTATTTAGCAGCTACCAAAACAAAAATAGGTATTTTCTCGTAGAATCATATATCTTTATAAATTTACATATTCCATGAATTATTTATGTTGTTGTTTCATAAACTATGTGTTATAGGAATCACATACCATTGGGGTAATGAGGTACAGTAATAAGTGAGTCGGTAGGTGAGGTCCCACAGAAATCTAACCCGTCGTGACTCAGGCCCCAGCCTTTCTATCCTATTTTTTTTTCACACTTTAGAAAAATATTATTTTATATTTTTTCGGTCCCATATTATTAATAGATAATATATTTTCTTTTGACAAAACTATAAAACTGGTACATGTGGTATG